GAGCACCTACGAAATAAGGCAAGGTCGAGTACATAATAAACATTGAATGGAAAGTAAGATAATGGAAGGTACCTGGTATCAATCTGTACCAACCGTGCCACCGCCTGCTTTCTTTGCAAAATCGATTCAACCGTCACATCCACATCCAATCCAATTCAAGCAGGAGGCAGGGACTGCTGCAGACCTTTCAGCTGCTGGCAAGGACCAAGGGGTTCACTTCAGCGCCATTCTCCGCCGAGATGGGAAAAAATAATAAAAAATCCACATGATAATACTGCTGCCCATTTCAATAGCCTCCTCAGCAATAGCCTCCCAGGCCTCTATGTATTATAGTCTATAGAGCATCCTCACAAACACAATTCCACAGACTAGGTACACACTTGGTTGTCTACTGGGTACAAGGTCTGACATACGTAGTGAGATGTTCTGATACCGAAGGGGCGTCCGACTGCCAACGACCTCAGCACCATCAAAAGTTGAGTTGAAGGGACGCCGCTTCTGATTTTGTCTGGCTTCAAGTCTCTGCTCTTGTAACATATCTACATGACAATGTGGAAATCTCCATTTTGTTCTTCCTTTCAGAGTGGTGGTCCGTGAGAAGCCCGGATTTTTCTCCCTTTCAAAAGCAGTGTGAACCGATTCAAGTCTCGGGCAAAAACACCGCCGTGGCCATCGACAGTGGGCTTTACTCATCTGGCGTTCCCCGGCTGGTGTGTATATTATTAGCCAGCACTGGTACCATACCATTGACCAGACTATCGGGACCTTCTTGAGACTTTAGCACTGGTTCTGGCTCTGGTTTATCATTAAGACAAGTTCCAGATCATGCCATTCAAACGACCTTCCAAGGTCGTTAGGCATGTTGCATAGTAGGTAGAGCAAGGCTCGCTGTCATCCCATTGTTGAGGACATTGGCTACAGATGCTGCTTGTTTGGCCACCTTATTTGCAAATATCACTGCAATAGTTCAGTACAAGTTTATGATCCCGACGACTACCTAGGTACCTAATTAGGAGTCTCGACCAGGTCAAACCTTGTCGCGGAGAACGGCCAACTCGACGTGAGACTAATTTGAAATATCTAGTTTCATGTCATCACAATTGATGTCAAGAGCCGCTCAAAGTGAAGTGAATCTGTCGTCCCTCGTTACTTTTACACTCATCATCTGTTTTGAGGGTGGACATTGTAGCTGTGTCCGTATCCCGGTTCAAATTGCGCTTAACACAGGCTCTCGCGGTATCAGTCACCACTCTACTTCCTAACAAGGTTAGATCTATCAAGGATTGACGCTCCTACAGAATCCGTAGGGGACTGATCAACGTGCCAAAAGGATATTCTAATTGGCCAATGTCTCACTTCATCCGCGGCGGCTTGGCGAGATCTTTGTTGGCCCTGTCCAGTACCAGATAGCGGCAGAGCGGCCACAGGACCTTATTAGAAATACCATGAAGACTCGACGCCTCGAGTCTTTGACGAAAACTGCACACTCGATGCATGTCGACCATAAATCTTGTTCGAGATCAAGATGGGACGGCGGACCCAGTGGAGAGAGTCCAGTCTTGCCGCCCGCATATGCCAGCCCTCTCAGCCCCTCTATATAGCCTGGCCGCCTGGCTTGGATGGACTTTACCTAACTCCCTGACGTTCCTCTACTGGCCCCTTGTAAGTTGTAGGGGAGTCACCTCCCCATGTTTCCCAGGCTGTCTTAGCTAATGACGGCTCACCCAATGGTCCCAATTTGGGCCCCAAGACTCTTCGCTGAGGGCGCTGCTCGTCGCGTCGTGAGATCTAATAAGGTTGGGTGGATTTATCCGCATTCCTCACATAATTCTAGACAATCGCACCGTGCCACGCACTCTCAAAAACAGAATTTGTTTCGTCTCATCATTTTGCAGAACCCATACGAAGGCCAAGGGAAATTGCAGTTTTCTGGGACCAAACAAAGAGCATCCGCAACACAAAAGACAGAGCCGGGTCAGTAGGATATTCTAACAGGGGTCCTTTGGGATTCCTGGAGATAAAGTGGAGTGCCAATGCAACCCATGTTTACATCTTAATATTGCGTATTCCTTTTCTGCTTCTCGTACCAAGCTGCATTGGTGTTTGCCTGCAGAAACCCTCGCCGCCGCCCAAACCCTTCCTATCTCCCTCACCGATGCACCAGGCTTCCATATGAGGCACACCAATAAGGCTCGCCTTGAAACCACGCACCGTTGAAAGTTGGGTTGGCAGAAAGATTCCTGATCTTATTATGCTCCATTTCTAAAAGTTCCCTCGAGAAATGGAAGTTAAAGTTGCACCGAGGGTAGTAAGCTATGAAACTCAGTGAACCATGGACCTCAGCTAGGTGGCCCTCCTTGCCATGTATTTTATGTCGCTCGGAACCTAAGAAGCGCGTACCTCTCTGATTTTAGACATTGAAGCATCGCTAGTTAATTCTACATTCCTCATCGACCCCTGCTTTAGCTGTGTTACTCCAAGTCGTTGATGAAACATCAGCTGTAGTGATGTCTGTCTACCCACTACGTAGAAAGCGCAGAGCGATACCAGTGACCACATATCCAAGCATACCATAACCACGCATGACTCGGCTGTGTTTACTGCTGACCACTCCGCCCATTCGGTCAGACTTTGGGGCTACAATTGCTTGCTTGATCGAGGAAGCCTCATCATGTACTTGGTTGCTATCCTGCTTCGTGTCAATCTACAACATCATGATCTCTATACCAGGCTGCTGATCCAAAACCCAGCCGTTGAGCCAATTCGCCGCCTAGTAGTATCTATTAGGAACTGAGGGCACCGGGCCATACAACAAGTATATTCGTTTGGATTTGCCAGCGAAAACGAATCTGTTATACTTAAGTTGTTATTGCTAGAGATGCCATTTCAAACCATGATTGTGGACAGTAACAGTACTATCACCGTATTGTGAAGCCTGAAAACAACCCAGTTTGTGGAATAACCGAACCCCCTTATCGCCTAAGTACCTATGAATGGAAGTTAGTACGGCACTCCATTCTAATAATGCTTTTTTGCCTTATCCGTCAACTACCGAATGAATCATAGGCTGTGGCTTATTAGTGAAGTATGGGGTCGTGCCCACTGATCTGGCGGCTCAACGATATTGGATGTCAAAAACACTAACTTATACTCCGCATAAAACCTTCTATTCTCACCCATGCCACAAATTTCAACTTCTGAAGCCTCTCAGAGGTTGTTGACCCAATGTGATGTGACACTCCTATATCTTTGCCTCAGTCGATGCTTTTCCCAGTGACACATGGGTCAACGCCACGACACTGTACTTCCTCGAGACCCATAACAAGGTGCCTACTAAGGTTGCGATCAGACTGGGGCAGTTGAACCGTCGAAACTATCTCAATCGATTATCAGAGCGAGGGCATGAAATACACTGATTGGTCCAGTTGATGCTGTCGATGTCAGTGATGGATCGAGACTCTATAGAGTAGTACTAGTTCTTATTCTCTTGATCTCTGAAGCCTTACATAGTAACACTGACATTTGGTGGTCAAGTATTAGACCAGCGGCTCTTTATGCATGACCTCGAGGCTGCGAGCGGCCACTCAATGGAAACAGCTTGCAAGATACTTTAGCTTAGGTGGTAGTAGATGTGGTTCGACAAATTAATGTGGTACTCGATGTGCGCAGAGATCAAAGATTACCTATTGCAGCCTCTTCACAGATGTCGTTGGTTGTGAATTGCCCGGGCATCATAGCAGTTTGGAAACCGCCGCTCTCAACAAGCAGGCGTTCTCAAACAGCTCCGGTGGCAGCACGAACTACAACCACAACGTCTTTTGATATGGCTGAGTGGGAGCTGCGGCTCATTGTGCTAATTCATTCAGATTGCCCGGGGCAATATCGCTAGGCTAAGGTAGTAGGTACTGGGCAAGTAACTAAAATATGCAAGACACGTCGACTTGCTTCATTGGACAAGGATAAAGTGACCAATCATAGCTGAAGAAAGGATTATGCTAGCCAGTATCGAGGTCGGTGGGAGGAATGTTTCTGACGTTTGAGAATGAGGCATTGGAAAGATTCATACGTCATTCTCTTGACCCAGGTCATTCATGCATCAGAAAAACAGCTTCGAGATACGAATGCAGCCAAGTACGATAGAGCTAACTAATGGCGTCGGTCCATGCTTCCTTTATTTACAAGGCGTGGAGTACCTAGGTTCCAAAAGGCGGAGATGTGTCCAATTAATAGTTCATCAACCATTCTGATAGCATTGATCTTGGACTTAGGGGACGTGCATGTTTAATTGGTGATTTTCATTCAGGGCTGCCCCTCTCTATTAGCATCTGAGGTACCTGGACATTAGGAACCTTCCCGTGATACTTAGTACCTTATCCATCCTCCAGGCTAGGTAGGTTAGTAGGTAGCTGTTGACCCTGTGTTGTCTATTTCAACCTTTCTTTCCTCCTATTTTCCTGATCTCGTCTTCTCTCAATATCATCATGAATTGATGTGCATCATATTGACAGCCCCGTTCGAATCAAGCGAGGCTAATTAAGGTACTAAGCGGGCCTTTATCTTATCTGGAAACTTAATATCCATTCGTCAAGAAGTCTTGTTTGAATACCGCATTTGTCGAGAGGAATCCATGATCACTATGCGACCTTGAACCTTCATTGACTTACGCCCTATAACAAGTTTTTTCTCTGGGCATTTCACCAAAACATATCGATATTTTGAAAGCCGCAGCATCGAACCTCGAATCAGAACCCAACTTCACTACGATTCGGGCGCCTCGACGTCCAACGTTCAACAAATTCGCCCCCATCCCTGGCACTGCAGCTCGAGTCAAGCAACCCCTTATCACGTTAACGAACCTTCACAACTGTCGATCGATCAGCCCCTCGCGCGTCTTGATATAAGCCACTCATAAATACATCCATATCCTTTCTGGAGTACTATTGTTGGATATCTACATGGCCGACTTCTAGCGCACGACCTCGAGAGAAAAAGACCACACAATGAGCTCCGACGAATCTCCTCCCAGCGGTCTTGGCGCGCCCGAGTCTCACGATGACCTCAAGCCTATACTTTCACCCATTCTACCCTCCTCCCCTGCGTCGTCTACCAAGGTCGATTTCATCCCGCTTGTTACTGTTGTCGGATTCCATCATGCAAGGGGCCCAGAAGTCGAGAATTGGTTTGGGGCAGACGATGAGAGCGATCCTGCAGCTGATTATGGCTGGTCTTTGCTGCCTTTCATGGCCTTGAGTGATGGGGCGCACGCGTGAGTTGTTTACTGCGGTTTTGACACTTCTGAATGGTGCTGAGAAATTTGTGTAGATCCGAAGAGGACTTCTCATACTTTACGCTGCTTCGCCCAGAGACGGGGACAAAACCCGCTACGTCACTGTTTGGAATTTCGTGCACCCGACAACTTGATTCATCCCAGCTCATCAATCGCCCTGCTGATGTCACGCGATCCACTGTCCAGAAGGCTGTTGTGGTCATTGCCGATAGCCCTCAGTTCTTCGGTATGCTTCGTGAGCGCTTGAGTATTGTCACGCAGGCTTGGTTTGCGCAGCGTGAGTTTACCGATGTTGAGATTCTCCGCAGATTCCAGGAGAGCCTGGCAGATGAGAAAACCAAAGGCATTCTCAATGACCAGATAGACCGAGACCAATATCTCGGTATGAGTCTTCGTGAACTGATACACGAATACAAATGGCAAACCTTGGTTTTGTTGAAGTGTTGCCTCCTCCAACCGAAGGTATCACTGCTGGTTTTCCCTACCGTAACGAAGATTGCTGACAGTTACTTCTAGATGCTCTTCTTTGGGTCGAGATGTGACAGGTTGTGCATGATGCAATTTTCTCTTTTGTCCTTGATACCCGGCCTCATTCGCAACCTGCAGGACAGCGCAGACCCAGAGCTGAATAGCTACGAGACAAGTCTATCAAAGCCGACCAGTTTGCGAACTAGTGATCGCAACTCCCTCCTCTGCTACATGGGCCTACCACTCCAGATATTTGGCAAGGTAAGTCTCGTCAAAACTCGATCGGAACAGGAACTGACAGCAAACAGGGAAGCTTGTTTGGACCCTATACCCCCCTGCAACAACTCGATATTCTCGCCGACTTTGGCACAAAGTCCTATATTGTCGGTAGTACGAACTCACTTCTCCTGCAGCAGAAGGACCGCTACAGTGATATCCTCATCAATCTGGACGAGGACTCAGTTGTTATCAACTCTCCGTCACTCAGAAGTGCTTTGACTCTCACCGCTGCTGACCGGAGGTGGATAGACTATTTAACTCATGAGATCAACGACACGTGGGATGAAGCCAACCCCAGCAGGCCGAAGACGTTGAAATACGTTGGGAGCGAGGAGTTTATTAGGCTCCAGTTCGAAGAGTATATTCTCGCTCTCATCTCTTCCGTCAAATACCACAACTATCTTCATGTGAATCCAAACAACCCGAAAGCTATCCTTCCAGAGGTTGAGGGTGATCCTGTCGCAGACTTTGGATATGAGTGGGTAGAGGCGTGGAAGCGCACCGAGAACTACCGCATGTGGAACGCAAACACTGATTCCCATTTGTTCGACATTGTTGACCCTCGACATCCTTGTGCAGGAGGCTTGAACATCGAGGATGTACAGCGTCGCATCGCAGAGCAAGTAAAAGAACTGCATCTGGACGAGCGTTTTGCGCAGGGCAAAGAAGTCCTTGGTCGGAATCTTGCCGCCGGTCGTGAAAAGGCGTCCTTTGTTCTTAATAAATTGTATGCCGACATGGAGGCTTTGCGTGAAGCACAACGACGTCGCGCTGAAGAGGCTCGCGCAGCATCGCCACCGAACGGTTCGAGTCAGCTGGCTGGACAAGACCCTTCAAAAGCCGGACATCAAGGGCAATCAGCTGGTGCGCGTGCTGGTGCTTACATCGGGAGTTGGGCAGCTTGGGCTGGTGAGAAGCGCCGCACAAGTGGATGGGGTGCTGGCTGGGGTCGCAAACCAGCCTCCAAGGCTGACAAGGCAATGGACGACTCGAGTTCAAGCAGTACCATTGACAAAGACTACCAGATGATCAGCGCTCCCGTTTCTCGAGGTGGCAGTTCCGATGATGCAACTGCACGTCCAGAGAGGGGTGCAAGTTTCAGCGAGAGTATCCTCTCGGGTGTCAGTGAGTCAGGCAGCCGGCCGACCTCGGGGATCAACAACCCTCTTCCAGGCCCGCCAGTGCCCGGAAGGAAGGACGATGGCTTCCAGACCGAGGGAGTTGTTGGTTCGAAAGATAAACTGCCAAGCGCAGGCCCTCCTCGCAACGAGAACGGCGTAACGACTAAAGAATGATAGGTTAACAAAGAGAGCCCGAAAACATGGGATATGGACGGCTGCTTCATGATCATAAAGATCATCAAAGCAGGCGATTTTGGCTACATTGTGTATATATATCATCCCTTGTATTCTTGATATCGTTTGTAATTAATATTGAACGAGCCATGCAATATTACAGTATAGAAAGATCGAAACGCCTAATAGGTCCACTTTGAATAAGTCCTTTACATGCACTGTTTTTAAAACCTGTCCGTCAAGACCTTTTTTTTTTTTTTTTCAGCAGTCCATTTCTACAGAGCCCTTCTTGCAGCCATTCCCTGATCCCAAGCCAACTGATTCTTCCTTTGCAAACAACTTTCTCCCCGCCCAAGGTACCAAATCACCAAGACCCAAAACAAAGAATAAATAAGTGACTGGACAAGTAGAAAGAAGCTTAGGGAGGGTCGAGGGAGAGGTAGCGACGTGCTCAAATTGCTGATCATCTATTGTTTACCAAGCATTTCTCATCATGTCTGCCCGTCAGACTCTCTTACCACGCCGAAGGAATTAAGAAAGTAAAGACGCTCATAACCGCCGAGAGCCCCAGATATTTATGCTCTCGAGAAATACATAATAAAATGGGCTTGATAATTGCGAAGTGCGGAGCTGGGACGGAGCTCTCCGACTTGACCTCGAACCAATACCACTTAGCTAGAGGTTTAAGCTAGGTAACCTAGCTCGTCGTCTTCCAAACGCTCCAGGTACTCCTTGTCTAGTAGGATTTCAATGCATTTCTTGATATCGCCGACCTTTGGAACGAATCGCGAGCGGATTTGGTTGATGGTCTCGCTTACGAGCTGGGTGTGTTTCATCTTCTTGCGAGCCTTCATGATTCGGACGATGGCAGACTGTGTTGTAGTTAGTATGAATCCTGACAAGTAAAGAGATATACATACTTGGAGGACCAGTTTTCGGTCTTCCTCAATTGTCTTGTTCGTCTCGACCTCCTCCTGCTTGGCCTCCTTCACACCACCGAGGTTCAGGTTCACCCTGATCTTTTTGCTCTTGAAGTCGTAGTTTAGTTTGAAGGATTTACCGGTCCCTGGCTTCTCACCAGCACCGCCAGACATAATGAGTACCTTAGCCTTTAGAATAACAGCGAGGGCCTGATCCAGAACCTCCTTGCTCAGTTGAGTGGCACTGAGCATATCCTCGTAGCTGTAAGTGTCCTTCTCGTTGAAAAGGAGGAGAATGGCCATCTGATAAATCGAGACCTGGAAGGTATACGGAGTCTTGCTGGCTTTGCAATAGCCAGCTTTGATCTCGCCCTTGCAAAGATGCCACAACCACGTAAGCTTACGCCCGTCATGCTTATGCTTGTAGAAGCGGATAAAGCGCTCGATCTCGGCCGCAATCTCGGGAGGAGGGTTGAAGTCAGTGCTCGGTGCCGTCAATGGCCAGAATCCAGTTCCCAGAATCGAGAAAGTTGAATCAACGGCTTTGGTGTATTCGACGCCTTCAAGATGCTCGCGGAAATCCTTATTCAAATCCTTGGAGATTTGCATATCCTGGAACATACGCTGAAGTTTGTTCGTGTATTCAAAACCGCATGCCTCTTTTAGTTTGCTGATCATGCTAGTCTCAGCGTCGTCTGAAGAGGAGTTGCTATGCACCAAACGCCGGGCCAGCATCCGCGAATAGAACTTCTGGAAGACATCCTTGTCCTCAATGTACTTAAAGACAGTCATGATCTGACTCAAAGTACGTTCCAATTCTGCCTCTTCAATACTGGTACTGCTCTTTCTGAGCAGGACGTCAGTGTACTTGGCTAGAAGTTCAGGCGATTTGTTGGATCCAGCCTTGCAAACTTCGTTCCGGTTGACAAACTCTCTGCAGGCGTTGTCAAGAGAACGTGTAAACTCTGGCTCATCATTGAAAGCTCTCTTCACAAGGCCCTGGTACTGGGTGTGAATTTCCAGCAGAGCATCGACGTAAACCTTTGGTTCGAGCTTGTCACCCTCTGACGATTGGACCTTCTGCACAGCAGCAAGTCCAGCCTTTCTCACATGTGTTTCAAAACGGGCTCTAAGCGGTTCGAGGCCGTCGGGGATTCTCGAAAGAAGGTTGTACATTCGTGCCATATCATCTTCGCGGTCGTTATCCAGAAGCACCTGGAATTCCTCCCGAAGAAGACTGGAGTGATCGGCGATGAGAGCTTGATTACAAGTCTTCTTTAGAGGAATGGCGATGTCTTGATGCAGGTACATGCGAACGCGCTCCTCCTCCTCAGACAGACGGGCCTCTGCCTTCTTCATGTATTCCACGACACTGTTCTCGGCAACAAATTGCTTGGACTCTGCCACGTAAAACTCTTTAGTAGCAGTGAGGAAAGGACGCTCGAAATGATAGCGGTAGACATCAAGTGTTGACTTGGAGGGGTCTGCTTCATCCAGTCCCAGGGAGACAAAGGAATCGACGACTTGCTTGATTTGGCCGTGTTCGATGGTCTCGCCGTTCCTTTGTTTCTCCACAAGCTTAAGTACCGCATCCATAACCTTATCACTGACCTTTTCGAATAGCTCCCTCCTCCATTGCACAAGATGCAGGGTGTAGACATCGTAGATATTCTTCTTCCCTTCATCAATTTCTCGCTTGACCCAATGTCTGTTGAGATAACGGAAGAGATGGTGGATATATTTGGCGGCAACTGTGTAGCGACCCCATTCTTTGATATAGAAAGTGAGCAGCGCCTCGTCGGTGTGGGCCTTGCTTTCATTCACAAGGCTATCGAGATGATGATAGAGGTAATCGATCAGCTTCTTGTAGAGCTCCTCCCCTAGCAGATGTGCTATTGGGCAGTTAGCTTGATAGGCCGTGAATACGCGTCTAGGAATGGCTTACCCCCTCTATGGTTACTGTGCATAGCAGGACCACTCATGCCAACTGCTTTTTGGGATGTGCAAAAGTTATGGACAGCGCTGTGACAAGTCAGTAGACGCTTTTGATATACAACTCTGGGTAAAGATGACTAACGTGTAGACACCCATGTACATTTGCATGTCGATGCCCTGCTCGAGATCGTTCATGACGCGTGAGATACCTGCTTGTAGATAAGCCCATCTATTCGAGTCAGTTTTGACAGTCTAAACATGGACAATGCTACTCACGTTGCCCCAATATCCTCTCTGTTGGGTATCGGGGGCATTTGACTCGTGGCACCCATCCTGGCGGCCATGGTGGGCTAGAAAGTGAAGATGGAAGGCGGTTTAACGGAGGTGTTGGTGATAGAGGCGGGGTTAGTGTCGAGGGGTTCGACGCGATGTCGTCAGAGTCGACAAAAGGTTGTTTTGCACAGAAGGAGCTAAAGGTATAGAGCTGTAACCAAAGCGCAATTATGCGACGCGACGATGAATATGACGGTCAGGTTTGACGCTCGAGGGAATGTTTTCCCGGCTGGTGTTGAGCTACTCAGGCACGACTGAGAGCAAAGGTCGAGCCTAGAGGCGGTTTCGGATGGGCAGTAAAAGTAGTTGGTAAGTCGGTTTTGTGCTTTTGTGGCAGGGCAAAATGCAGTCCATAAACTTAAATCATCCTAGACATATGAGTCATCAGAGGGAATGAGTGAGAGAGAAAAGAAGAAAGTTAAACACCCGTAAAGTGATTCTCGACAGTCAAATAAATGCACAGGACGGGAGAGGATCAGGCAGTCAATGTCAGACCGCAGTAGCAGGACTGATATGACAAGGCGTTGGCTGAGGCAAGGCCAGGCCACAACAGGAGGAGCAACTTGCTGTAGAAGGCTTAGCGTCGGGCTCTGCCGCTACATACCGCCCTAGGCTGATGGCCGGGTTGTCTCCGATAAACAGGGGTGTAGGTACTGTGGAAACCTTCCAAGTGAAGCATGAAGCGTGGGTAGAGCTACCTTACCTTACCTAGGTAGTAGCTACTAAGCTACCTACTAGTACTTTTATGATATACCTTCACCCTGAAGCGTCATACACATGAGCGTGCAGGGCGAACTGAGTGATGAATACTAGGTGCCTGTGTAAGTAGGCAAGGGCCGCAATTCTCAGTCTGTGGTTGATACCAGTTCAACAAACAGAGCCATTTGTGCACGTTACAGCAACAGGCACACAATTAAGCTTGGTTCTTTTGGTTTATTCCCCAATACAAGGTCGTTCCTGAACATAAGAAACATGCATGTTTAGCACGTGTGAAAGGTTGTCTGAAATACTAATAAAGAGAAAGAAGAGCAGCTATGAACGCTAAGCACGGTCTACCGTGATATCAATGTCCCATATACTCCTACTAGTCGCCATAAGCACTCCCTGCTCAAAGGGGTATCCTAAATTTCCAAAGCGAGTCCGTTGCTCCAGCCATCCCTCACTTCCCTTTCCTAGCCATGCAGCCCATCGTCTTCACCTCCTCCCAGGCGTTCCACTGTGCGGAATATGTTGACTGCAAAGTTCATCGTCCAAGCAATTAGTCCCATGAGCATGAATGCTGCCAACGCCTTTGACAAGCTCCTGACTGCTGTATCGGACAAGTTATGATACACAAGGCTCTCGAATGCAAGTGCTGTGCTTGCCGACTTGAAGATGATGAAAAAGAGGTCCAGCAAAATGAGAGATATCTTGGAGACGACAGATCTTAAGCCCAAAGGCTTGCCTGTGTACTCATCCCAGATCATATAACCAATGTATGGAATAGCCACGCAATCTACGGCCACGGCAACTATGGATTGTGTCTCTTCAGCTGAATCTGTGCTATCAACGTCTTCAAGCTGGTGGATCCGCGCTGCAATAGCAAGGGCGATGATAGAAGTGACCATGACGCTCAGTCTAAACATTAGAGGGGCAAGAGAGTGCCGAATAGCTATATTCCATAAGCGTTTGTATGGAGCTAGCGTCCTCTTCTTCCGTGAGATCCTGGCTTCTTGTGCATCGTAAGGGTGGCGGGCTGGTGTGTTGAAATTTGGTTGTAGGTCGTTTAGAGCCTCAACGTCTACCACTTTCGAGTCCTCATTGGTCATGCGA